AAATTGCAAAAAAAGGTGTCTATATTAGGATAGTTTTTCACTAAAGACTTAAAGGGGGGAAGCAAACTGATGCAGAAATGAAGAGAACTGAACTTAAGATTGGAACAATGGAAATGAAATTGAGAGATTTGTCCATCCCTACCCCTGAAAAAAATGAATTTGGTTGTGTGTGATGTAGTCTATGCAGGGAGCACACAGAAATGCAAGTCCTATAAGGAGTGTGCCCCTGGCCCTATACAGGTTGACTGGACACTTGGGTCAGCTGGGGAGGTCCTGAATGCTGTTCTGCTGATGGATGTTGCCCATTGTGTGGTGAAATGGGGTCATGACATGGTACCCAGATTGTGGAATCTCCCCCGCCCAAGGCATGGATAGATGGTCCCTACATTACTGGGCTTCGAGTGCCAGGTAAAAACTCACCTGTTAACTCAGACATTTGGATGCATCTGATTGTTCAAGGTATTTGTGTAAGTACCGATCAATGCAAACTTATAAATGTGTGACCGTTTTCCTTCTAATACTTTGCGAGCTGTTGTATTGCTCTTAGTTTATTTCTATTGTGTCGCTGTTTGGTCACGGTAATGCTCTCATTTTAAAATATCATTTAAGGAATGATATTTAAGGAATGGGTGAATCTTAAATAACATAAAATATGCTTCAATGCTTCTAGCATCTCTTTTCCATTTACCCACCCACAAACCCACCTTACAAGCTAGCACATGAACAACGCAAAGGTGCTGTGTGTGTGTGTGTGTGTGTGTGTGTGTGTGTGTGTGTGTGTTGGCTCTGCAGTCAGAAAATTCAGGAAAGCAGCAGGTCACTTTGTATGAACCCCTATTCGAAGCATGCCACACAAATGTCGCCATCAGGAGATGGGAAGCTTGCAGAAGCATAGCCAAGCTTTGCTTCCGATGCAATTAATCATAGCTGCAACCTTTGGGTAACAATACAAACTGCAAGGCAGGAAATGAAAGTTTCCTCTTGTCTCTTGCAAAAAGAAAAAAGAAAAAAGGGTGACCTTATGAAGAAAAGTGCATGTAAAAGCAAGAGAGGCGTCAGGCAGGCAAGCTGCCAGAATGGGGAAGATACACTTTGCAGCGAGAAACAACAGAATCATTCCAACCTCTCATGGTGTAAGCTTCTGCTAATGCAAGGGTAGCTAACGCAGTGCTCTACAGATGTTGCCACAACTCCCGCCATCCTTGTACATTGGCCATGCCGGTTGGGTACCCTGTACCTTTAATAGTTGCATAGCTGTAGGGCTCCTGTACCTTTAACAGTGCTCAGTATTATGATCCAATTGCCAAATGAGAAAACGGGGTGTATCTGCTGAAACTCCCTGTTTTCTTTTCAGTCTGGTCATTCTGTTTGGACTCCCCAGGGCATGATGATTCCCTACATTACACAGTGAAGCCAGATCTCCAATCCCAGGTCAATGTTTAAGCGGTCCTGTCTTTTAAAGCACCTTTTGGCAGCACTCCAAGCACTGGCCTGAAAAGGATGCTGATAGGGAAGAAAACAGTGCTGATTCTGGGCAGAGATAAGTGAATAGATGGGGAGGAGAATGGGACATAGCCATGGCAGAAGCTCCTCCTCCTTGACAGCTTCTGAGGCTTTCAGAAGGCAGAGAGAGGTTAGGGCCGGGGAGGAAATTCGTTGCCTCTTGCTTTTTAATGAGAAGCTCTCTGATGTACACTTCTTGAACCAAAGTGAACCCGAAATTCACCTTTACTGAGTGAACGACTTGGGGCCATGGACTGTGGGGAAGGAATTTGCTTCAGTTAGCATTCAAAGCTGAATCTATCAAATTCACACTTTCTGTAACAATATGAGAACCAAACAGCAGCTTGAAAATCACACTTTCCTGATTTTTTTAATGCAGCTCTCCAGTCAAATAACGTGCGCAAAAATGCATATATTAGTTTAAAATTAAAAAATGCATTATGTTTAGGGTAATTGCAAGCAAAAGTGTGCACTTTAGTCAAAACGCCATAAAAATGTGTATATTGGGAGAAATTCAACCTGAACTGTTGATGAATTATCATGAGTGGGGGTTTTTTTTTGGGGGGGGGATGCAAATTGTTCAGGATATGTGGAGAACTGAATTGAAGATAGGGGAGAAAATGAGAGAACCAAAACTGAGAGATTTGCCCATCCTACACTTGACGAAGTCTTGTCCTCTGGAATCTTTGCAAATATATAAATTTAAAAGATTAATTGTCTTAGATATCCGCATAAATGCTTGTTTAGGATACCAGAGGACTGCTACAACAACATATTTATTGGAACAGGGTGTGAAATTCAGTAGCTAAGCAAATTATATTACATTAGCTTTGGCCTGGCTGAGATTCTTCCTGCCTGGTCAGGCAGATAAGTATTTTGGCTTCCAATATGAAGTTGAACATTAAACTGTAATTAAATTGGCATAAATGGATGTATTTAACATCTCTCTCCTTCCCCACAATTTCTACTTCAGCTGTTTGTGTTCTGTCATGGAAAGCCCAACTCCTTCTTACACCAGTATGCACAAACACACTCTTAAAAACACCATCCTAGAATCTATTGCTGGGCATTTCTACAGTAAGGAACACAATTAAATGTTCAGTTTGAGCACAGATTTGGAAGACATATTAGTCTAAGGAGGAGGAAATAGCTCATGGGACATACAAAATGTGTGAATCATAAATGTTGGTTCCTTTATAAATCATCAACAACATGCACATTTTTTAAAAAAATGTATCGTGTAAGCTACTGCTTTTATCTCTATTACAATCTTATTATTATTTTATGGCTATTAGTTATTCAATTTATTACCAGCCCTTCACAATCTGCTCCCACAGTGGGTTACAGCAATATAAAATTGAGTATTAAGAACAGTTGAAAGCAAATTACAGTCAAAGGATAAAGACATATATCGCAGCAGTTGCAGCCCAGGGGAAAGATGTGTGTCTTCAGCATTCGACAAAAATGAAATAATAAAGGTGCCATTTAACACGCACACCAAATCTCACAGCTGTTCTCCAGAGCTGCCTTTCCAAATGACTTTATATTTCAGCTTGGCTTTTTAAAGCAGTTTGGTTTTCTGCCACTCGCAGAGATTGCGTCAATCTAATTATGCAGTTCACCAGTTTATTGATTAACTGGCCAAAGTGAAATTCAGCATGGCGGAATGGCAACGCAAACTGCCCATTATCACTCCTTCCCTTTCTGCCATTCCTAGATACATTCTTTGGATATTTAAACTGAAATTGACGTATCTGTAGGTTCCTTTGAGACTTTTTTCTTTTTTGGTAGAAAGTGATGAATGACTGCAATCAGTAGCACCCTTACTACTCATAATAATTTGCAGTGCAATTTTGCAGATCCTAAGCGTGTGCATTGTTTAGTTATTTAATTCATTTAACAATATTTTGCATATCGCACAACTGTAAAGAAATCCGGTTTGCAAAGCGGTTTGCAAAGGTGTCAACACACAGAAAGGGGGTGTGGGGAGGAGAAAGGTGAAACCCAACCCTTTCCGCCGCGTTACATCACTGCGTTTAAGATGCCTGCAATTGCTGCGTGTTTAGAGTTTGGAGGTTTGCCGTTGCTTTTCATTTCAAAATCCGTGCAGCCTTATAGGCATTGTTATACCCCAGAGGACCACCTTCTCTCCATCAACAGGCTGCCTCCAAAAGATGTCTCTCTGCTGAAGGAAGGAATGTAGAAGGCTGCCTTATAATAAGTCAGATCGTTGGTCCATCTAGCTCAGTATTGTTTATACTGACCGGAAGAAGCTCTCCAGAGTTTCAGGCAGGGGACAGTCCTAGCCTTCCTGTGAGATGCCCAGGATTGAACATGGAACCTTCTGAGGGCGAGGCAGATGCTCTACCACTGAGCTACAGCCCTTCCCTCAAATATTCAGTGGGGCTCCTTCCCTCATCTCCTGACTGAAGCCTTTGCTGGATCAAAGAGTCTTCTGTCAGCAAGGGATGCTGACATGAGATGCAATCAAATAAGAACACCACCTGCTAACTCTAGACCCACCATCCTGCAGGAACAATCCTGATGACCTTCTTCCCTCAATGGATTCTTGCAAAAGTTGGAAGGATAACCCAGACCGCAACTGGACTCAGGCATGCCCCAGTGGTGGTAGGGAACAGAACTCAGCTGGATCCTGCTAATTAATCAGAGATGCATTTTCAGTTGACTCTCAAGCCAGTAATTGGATAATTGCACCAATTAATTGATTAATGCTTTCGGCTCTACTACTAAGCCATTGGAGCAAACCCTAAATTTACATGGCAATTACAGAACATATGTAATGTTTGCAAAACATGCTGAGTGGGGAGAGGCTGGAACTGCAGAGTTACAACTCAGGTCACCTTTCTCCCAGTCAGTTGACCCCAATGACAGATTGCACTGCTAATTAAATCTAACACATAGCCTGCCTAGAGAGCTCGTTTCTGAATTGCTAGCTGAAACTTTTCAGTAGTTTTCTGTTTGAAATCTGACTTCAAGCCTTTTTGCAGCTATTAACTGAGCCACAGGTCTGGAAAACTGGTTATTTGCTCCATTCCACTGCTTGAGCTGACATCTGGAAGCCAATAGACCATAGGTTGTTGTTTTTTTAAAAAAATTACAAATTACAAATTATTGTATACTCAGTGTCAGGGACTGGCTGGACACTGAGGAGTGAGCACTAGGAAAAGGGGGGTTGGGAGAAGGGATCTGGGAGAGCCTGGAAAAACCAGGAGATGAGAGACAAAGGCAGGAGAAACTGTAGGATTGGAGAGTGAAGAACAAGTACAAGAGGAATTTGTTTTAATTTGCTGAACAGCTTCTATGGATGTAGCACTGTTATCGTTTGCAGTGTATTCCTTTTGTAAATGTTATATTTAAATTGTCAGGTTGTGATGTGATTTTATTATTACGCTTTTTATAAGGAAAGGTGTGTTATAAATGTCTTAAACAAGCAAAATAATGACCAAAGCAAAACAGCAGTAGCAAAGGCAACTTACCAATAGCCATCATATAATCCCACCGGTCTATCAGGCACATGCTGAAGATCAGGTGATCTGAGGTTTGTCCTTGGCCAACAAGAGAAATGTTTCGCTCCAGGTTTTGGCAGACGGCAGCAGTCCAGCCTATTAGGAACCAAAGCACCACCAGGAATATCACAGCCAGCATCTTCATCACGCGCCCGCCTGTCATGTATGGCATTCGCTGAACAGTCCGTGACAGGAACACTTTCAAAACCCTGCGCAATCAAATAGACACAACGTCACAATACAGTCGCCAGTTCAAATTCAAGGTGCTTGCAGTAATTTGCAAGGTGCTTGACAACTTGGGTCCAGAACAGCTTAAGGATCACCCGATCCCTTATACCCCTGCCCGATCACTGAGATCTTCATGTGCCGTACCATCAAGCTATGTTGGACTCCAGAGATTTGATGAACTCCATGCTCATCACCCTGGCAAGGTCAAAAGTTTAGGACAATGGGAGCTGTGATCCATTAATCTCTGGAGGGCCACAGATAAGCCACTCCTGCTATGCAGCTTCCTTAAAAAAAATTCTTCTTACTATTTTTAAAAATATCACAATAATAATAATAATAATAATAATAATAATATATTTTTATTTCATAGAATCATAGAATCATAGAGTTGGAAGAGACCACAAGGGCCATCGAGTCCAACCCCCTGCCAAGCAGGAAACACCATCAGAGCACTTCTGACATATGGTTGTCAAGCCTCTGCTTAAAGACCTCCAAAGAAGGAGACTCCACCACACTCCTTGGCAGCAAATTCCACTGTCGAACAGCTCTTACTGTCAGGAAGTTCTTCCTAATGTTTAGGTGGAATCTTCTTTCTTGTAGTTTGGATCCATTGCTCCGTGTCCGCTTCTCTGGAGCAGCAGAAAACTTATAAAATGATTTTTATACCCCACCCATCTGGCTGTGGTGCCCCAGCCACTCTGGGTGGCCTCCAACACATATAAAAACATAAGAAAACATCAAACATTAATAGTAACAATCTGATCCAATATTTAAAAAGTCACAATAACTTTAAAATAAACGATTTGTATAAAATAAAGCAATTTTCAATAATCCATTAAAATCTAATAGTAATCAGTAAAATTAAACACCAGCAAACAAATAAATTACAATAAAGGATTACTAATCTATAATCAGTAAAAAAAATAACAGCAGCTCACAATACATAAAATACCACAAAACATACAAAACCATGTAAAAGGATCAAATTGAGAAACAAGGACATACAACTTATAAAATGATTTTTTAAAAAATTGCCCTGAACTCCTCTCTTCCCAGCTGCTTCTGCTGGCAAAAATGTGCACCGAGGCAAGCACAATGAAATCAAGGCAGCCAAAGAAATGTATTTCAAGCCACCCTTCTAGTGAACTGGCTCTTTAAATTAAAGTGCCTTCCCTGCTTCTCAGTACTCAAGAGGGCTAGGGCTAGGGCTGGCTCTACCATTAGTCAGGGTGAGGTGAACGCTTCAGGCGGTAGATTCTGAGGGTCAGGGAGAGAACAGAACTCTGTGTGCCCGCTCCATACTCCCTAAGCTAGTCTGCAGCCCTCAAGTGTAGTGGAAGACACTGTCTATTTGCCAGTGATGAACAGTCAACTACTGGTTTTTGGGACATGGGTTCGGGGTGTGCGTGAACCGTTTTGTCTGTTGCCTCGGGCAGCAAAATGTCTTGGATCTGCCCTGCCAATAGCACATAAATGTGTGTTTGGGGAAGAGCAGAGCGCTGCATGATTGGTAAAACCCCCAGTTACCCCACCATAGCACTGAATTATTGCTGCTGCCTATCAGCTACATGCACCAGAGAAAACAAACATACCATAAAAGCCAAGGGCTTCTTTACAGAATTCTGTATCTAGAAAGTGTGCAGTATGTAAGGATCAAATAAATATCAGTTACACCAATTATTTTTAGAACAACCTGGGTGTCCTGTTTCTTACCCATGTCATCAACAAAAGAGCCTGGGAGAATTGAGATAAAAATCTAGCGAACCGCTGAGCCGGAAGAAAAGTCACACCTACTATTTACAACAATGTAAATTATTCACGCCCACAAATTTTCCCCTCCCCCCGCCGCAATACATTCTGCATTTTGGATCTTTCTTCTGGCTTTTGGATGTTGTCATCATCGCTACCCCATTATAGAACCTTGACCTCACTGCTCACTTGTTTCTATGGTGGGCAGGAGGTAAGCCCCACCCCAACCTATCTGGGAAGCTAGGCAGGGCTGGGTCTGACTGGTACCTGGATAAGCAGACAGACGGTGAAGTCTGAGTGCTGCAAGCAAGGCTTGATGCCCTTTCCTCCCTCCCAGCCAAGTGGTGGGGCAGGAAAAGGAAACTGGCAGGAGAGTAAGGCTTTGAATGGCTCCTAGCCCCAATGGCTCTCATAACTATAACTTTAAGAACTGGTACCCGACCTTGCTTTCCCCCTCCTCTCTCCCATCACTTTTTCTTTGAGCGCCACATCTTTTAGATTCTCTCATTTTTTCCGTATTAACGTCAGCTCTACACATTTCCACATCAGTTTGCAATTTTTTATTTTAAAAAAAAGTAATAATGAAAATTCACCAGCATTTCAGTGCAAATTTCTCCAAATATACACTTTTTTGTGCAATCTTGCCCAGCAGGAACAATTTTGCAAAGCAAAATCTTCCCTAACACACTTTTTTCTATGTTATTTACACACACACACAATGTGCACACTTTAAGAAATGTGGTTTTTTCCACACATTACTTGACTAGAGAACTTCTTTGCAAAATTCGGAGAAGTTCAAAGGATGGTTGTATTTTGGTTCGCATCTCGTTTTGGAAAGTGCGGATTGGGTACGTTCACCTTTAGATGGGAACTAAGTCATATTTCTCCCCCATCCCTAGAAAGGGCCGTGGCAGCTTGGCAGTGCATTCCCTTCTCCTCCCTGTTATTTGTCTCCCTTCCCAGTGGGGCTTGTTCGCGTGCTGCTTAGCTGTGCTTGGCAGTCTGAAGGAGGAGAGAGAGAGAGAAAGATGGCTCAGGAAAGAGGGGAACAGATTGGCCAGGGCAGTGTTTTCCCTTCTCCTCCTCCTCCTTTTCTGCTGTTACTTGGCTTCCTAACAGGCTGTGCTCACACACTGCTCTGACTGGGGGGCCTTGGCTTGCAGTCAGACAGAAAATGATGAACTGCACCAGCCTGAACTTTGGGCGAGTCAAGGAAAGAGCAGAGGAGTTGAAAATTACACAGCCCAAATCAATCTGCTCCCTTGCCCAGCTAGGCCCAAAAATCTCCAGTGCCAACAGCAAGGTTTATTTTATTTTATTTATTTATTTTATTTATATGTGATTGTTGTCATCCATGCGACGGTCACCTCCAGACTGGATTATTGTAACTCGCTCTACGTGGGGCTGCCCTTGAGACTGACCCAGAAACTCCAGCGGGTGCAGAATGCTGCAGCGAGACTCCTTACGGGGTCCTCGCTGCGAGATCACATTCACCTGGTGCTATACCAGCTGCACTGGCTCCCGGTGGAGTACAGGATCAGGTTTAAGGTGCTGGTTTTAACCTTTAAAGCCCTATACGGCCTAGGACTCTCGTACCTACGGGACCGCCTCTCCTGGTATGTCCCACAGAGGAACTTACGATCTTCAAACAAAAACATTTTGGAGGTTAGGCTGGCCTCAACCAGAGCCAGGGCTTTTTTGGCTGTGGCTCCGATCTGGTGGAACGCTCTGCCACAAGAGATTAGGGCCCTGCAGGACTTGACATCTTTCCGCAGGGCCTGCAAGACAGAGCTATTCCACCAAGCCTTTGGCCAGGGCACAGCCTGACTCCCTCCTTTGGCAATCTTCACAGAACTCTACCCAATGGTTGCCATCAATTTGATTTGAAGTAATTTTTTTAATGAAATGATTTTAAAATGTTGTCTTATTTTATTGTTGTTAGCCGCCCTGAGCCCGGCTTCGGCTGGGGAGGGCGGGATATAAATAAAATTTTATTATTGTTGTTGTTGTTGTTGTTGTTGGCATCTGACTGCCTTGAGAGAGTTCACTTCCGGAGAATGAAGTCAAACTGCTGTGTTAGCAGCACCAAAGTGACCTCTCTAGGCAGTGTGTATGGAGGTCCTTGGGTCCAAAGGAAAGCAATATGCTTGGCACCAGCAGGACTGCTGGAGCTGCTGGAAGAAGGAGTACAAGGCCTCTACTCTGGATTTGTGTAGGGTTTACTGCTTTGCCTTTTCTTTTCCCAGTGGAAGTTTAGGATCAGAGTTTTCCTTCTCTTGAAGGGCTGCCTTTCCATGTTGACGAGCCTCACTTCCCTCTATAGCATGTGCAGAAACCCCCTTCTTGATCACTAGACCCACACTTGGTCTCATCTGCTCAATTCGCTGGAGTCTGTACAGTGGTACCTCTGGTTCCGAACGGGATCCGTTTCGGAGGCCCATTCACAACATGAAAAGCCCGCAACCTGAAGCGCCGTATCTGCGCAGGTGCGCGGTGTGATTTGGCACTTGTGCAAATACACAAAGCACAATTGGCGAAACCTGGAAGTAACCCTATCCGGTACTTCTGGGTCGCCGCGGGACGCAACCTGAAAAGAGATAACATGAAGCAAACGTAACGTGAGGTATGACTGTATTTGAATGCAGGGGGAGTCCCCAACTCAACGAGGGTTTGAGACCCATCGGCTACCCCCACCTGGTTGAGCTGGCCAGTCGAAGCTGTTCCCCAGGGTGTGGCCATGGTCGCATGCTGGCATCTCCTGGGAGCCACAGGTGAGAGATGAATGCAGGGTGGGGACCAAAGGTAGACAAACTAAACCAGAAGGAGCACGATGTGCCCCCTTGTTAGAGGTACTGCCCCTCCCCACCCCACCTTCTTCTCCAAGAAGCTCAAGGTGTCGTATCTGGTCCCTACCCTGCCTTATTTAATTACCACAACAACCATGAGGGGTAGGTTAGGCTGAGAGGCAGTGATTGGCCCAAGTATTTCTAAACTGCTTAATTTTTTTTAAAAAAAAAAACTCTTAGCAGTATAGATACAAAAACCACAACATAAAATAGTACAATAAAACAGAAACAAAAGAACAGTGAAATAGTATTATAAAAACAGAAAACAGAATTACAAAGAAAGAAACTCAGCAATAGCGAGGTTCCAGCTTATGGGTCAGGGCAAAAATATATGTCTTTGCAATATGGCTGAAGCTACTGATGGATGATATTGGGACGCAGGTGGC